AATAAGCAAATGCTGGGCAGGAAGTGAGAGAACCTCCAGAAACAAAGCCAACCTGGCTGTGACATGAAATGTTTCTCCCTAATGGTACTGTTGCCTGCTTGCCTCTCCTCTGGTCACTGGCTGGGCATTTCCCATGGAATTCTGTCCCTCTGCTGGAGACATTGTAGAGACACTTGGAAATAATATTCCTCCTGGTTACTATGATTGTTAAATGAATTTGTGACATTATGTTTGATTGACAATTATATCAAGAAAGTTAGGTGGGATTATTACATGGAATTTTATTTTTAAAGCCTTGCACTGAATTTTCACCATCAGTCATGGTTTTAAAGGAACTACTCATTCACATTTGGTGAGACTGTTTAAACAGTTTTTACTACATTTTTCAAAGATTCCATTCATTTGGGATAGATAGGAATATTGTTACTTCATACTAATAATAATAGTCATAAAAGTAATGAGGAAGAAGAGGGGTATTACCCTATATCAAGATAATTTTGTACAACCCCAGCATTGGACTATGCATATCATGAAGTTAAATTCTGTGTTTAACCCTTAATATGATCCATGCAGTGTGCCATGCAGCAGACAGAGATTATCTCAAACATTGTAAAAGCTCTTCGGAGAATTTTATCCCCATTTTATAAATGAGTAAATTCACACTTAGGGGCAAAGTCACACATTCCTTCTAAGCAGTGTCAAGCCTTATTCAGGATGACTTTTCAGAGCAGAAGAGAGCCTGAGGAATGTAGGTAGAGAAGGATGGAGTTTAGGACACAACAAACATCAACCTTTGTAAGTGCAAGATTATTTTGTAGTTTCATATTTTGAAGTCATAGATTATCTGAAAGATAAGAAAAGTGCAAATACTTTTAAGGCAGAGCAAGATTTGAGGTATTGGCAGTAAAGCTTCAATTAAAGCTTCTAATTTTTCGTTAGAGTAGGCCAGCCATCTCTCAAATGAATGAATGAATCTTACATTAATTAAAATTAATTAAATGTTAGGCCCCACTCTATATCAGTGGCATGTGCAGTACCACTGAAAGGAAGAGTGCCTCTTAAGCAGCTAGTGGTTTTGTAATATTTCTCATTGTCTTTGAAAATAATGAAACCCACATTTCAATGTTAATGCAATCACTAATGAAAAGAATCTTGTACTAATAGAGGGAAAAAAAGGACTTTAGAGCTCATGTACTTCATCCTTGCCCAATTAGGGTGAAAAATGAAGTCCAAAACAATGACCTTGACTTACCCAGACCTACAGGCAGTTACTGTCTAAATTACTTCTGGTGAGAACCTTCTTAGAAATAACCTTCTATTGTGATTGAGTATCAAAATTTATATTTTAAAATAGTATAGTTTTTCCTTCAGCGAGTGTTGATTTTATGCAAGATTTTTGAAATTTATCATGAGGCATTTTAGGTTATTCAGTACATACATTGGATGTGTTTTATTCTAACATAATTTTTATTTATCAATATAATTATATGTTTGCTAATTTCCAAAATAATGGTAACAATTATTAAATTATTGAACTTGAAATATGTGAGTTAGCAAAAAGACTAGTTACCTATAATGCCCAAACTTTGAGGCAAATATTGCTAATACTCTCTTATTTATTCTTTCAGTCTTTTTTCCCTAAGAACATAACATATTAGTTTTTTAAACTTCACACATTGATGCTATACATATTATAGGTTTACATATGTATTGTATTCTGTCTTTAATAATAAACTATCATATTATTAAATAGTAATCTATAATATTATTCTCAGTTCCTCATAACTTCAACCAGTACCTCATTTTTGATATTTTAGATGGGTCTAGAATTTTTGCCTTAAAAAGTAATACAGAAATAAAACTTTTCATAGAAAAATCTTTGAAATTTTTCTTATTTACTTAATTTATTAATACACCACAAAAATGTTAACTTCTTAACTAAAGTACCAACTTTCTATGATTTGGTCTCAGTCCCCCATTTTTATGGATGGGATGTTTGTGCCCTTCCAACCCCCAAATCCATATGGTAGCATCAAAAACATCAATATGATGGGTGTGTTCTTTGGAAAGTAATTAGGTCACGAGGGAGGAGTCATCTCACAAGGGATAAAGCCCTTATTAGAAAGCACCTCAGAGAGCCCACCAGCCCTTTTTCTGCCATCTGAGGATGAAATAAGAAGCCAGCAGTTTATATGTATCCCTGAAGAGGTTCCTCATTAGAACACAACTTTAGATGACCTTGGTGATACCTTCAGTCTTCATGGTACCTCAGAACCTCAGCCTTAAGAACTGTGAGAGATAAATAAATAGATTATTTATAGAAATAAAGAAATAGAAATAAATTTCTGCTGTTATAACCCAGTCTGTTGCACTTTGTTATTACAGTGTTAAGACAACTATCATTGTTTTTTTAATTCAGTAAAAAAATTGTCAAATGATGCATAGCTTTATTTTTCTGCCTACTTATTTTTTAACATTTGCCCCCAATACATTTAGTTTACGTATTTTATTTCACAATGGTATACTGAACGTCTGTGCTTTCAATATTTTCATCCTACAAATGAACCGTCATAATCCTATTTTAAGTAAGAATGCAGTAAAGGCCATAGTACAAGTTCTGTTAATTAGGTGATGTCTGCAGTGTTACTACCATAAGAAAGAGCAAGTCATTTCATTTCAGCTAAACATGATCCTGTTCATCTTGTATGATGGTAACTAAGAGAGACCAGTTGACTATTCATGTATATTTACCGTATCTAGAGAAAAACAAGCACAGGTTTCCTTGTCAGTTGATAAAATTCCATTAAAAGATGTACTTCTGAAGTAGCAGTTAAAAAGAAATGACTGTTGGGCTGCTCACATCTTCATAAACAATTTTCATATTCACTGGGCGGGGCCCTTTTACCCTGTTTCCTGATGTCAAGTGTCTCCCAGGACTCATTTGTACCGTTCATAACTATGGGTTCTGTGGTTTCTTAGCTCATGCTTTACAAACAAATGAGCTTTTCCATTTGTTCCTAATGACTTTGGTTTATACAAAGGGATCTTAAACTGTCTCCAGAGCAATCATTTTGCTAAAATGTTATTAGAACATCTTCTCAAATTTAGCAACAAAAAGGGATTTCATTAACAATGGAAGTCATTGGGAATTGAGGGCCCTTAGCATATTCAGTAATTACCAATCTTGTTTTGTTTTCAGTGATGAGTAAAAACGATCTTGTGAATTGTACATTGATTCTTTATCTAGTGGATAAATAAGGAATATAAGGAATTGATGGGGTAGGAAGAGATGCTAGAAAAATCATAGCAGTATTTTTGGACTAATCAGCTCTGTCTTTGCTATCCAAAAAGCCATACGAACCTCTGCAATTGTATTCCCTAGGCTCTGTTAATAGAGTCATTTCTGTCCTGAGATTTGGGGGGATACGTACCTAAGGCTGAGGGTCAACGTGCCATCAATAGGCTCCATATTATACATGTAAACAAACATGTGTTTCATTTTCATAATAATTAAATTTGATCCATCTGCTATGCACAAATGAACTGCTGCTGAGAAGTTGGACACTTGACCAGCACTTTCGTGCAAAGTACATACAAAGAACAGATTGTTTAATTCAGTCTTTTTTTTCTTCATTTGCAGCTGCAAATACAGAGACAGAAAATCCCCTTACTTGAGACAGTTTGACTTCAAAGGCCTTCCAAGGACAATTGTGCTAAATTTCTTCGGGGTTTTGGTCATTTTTACCAATACTTTATTTCTAGATGTCTTTCCAAAATATTTCTCATCTCTGTATGTATCTCCAGAATGATGGCTATCTTGCCTTCTCCTAGAGCTCTGGAAGGACTTGCACAGTCTCTCCACTTGAGGGACAATGGAGACAGCAATGTGAACTCTTGACATCATAGTTCCTCTTTGTGGTCAGCATCAAGTAAAAAGATGAAAAATACCAGTTCTTGGCTACATCCTAGGGAAAGAAAGATGCCCACTCTTCTCCACAACAATCCAGAGAATTAGTACATGCTTCATCAGTCTTAGAGCTCCTCCAGATCTGCCCAGTCAATCCACCTAAGGGAAGACCAAACACCAGTTTGAACCAGAGGACAGCATATATCCTGCCTAATGCTCAGAGCAGATGGGGGTTGGGGTGAGATTTCTGATCTTAGTTTTCACCCAGAAAGGAAAAAGTTGATCTCTTGCATCCTTACCCAGTTTCTCTAGAGCTGCCCAAAGAACCAACATCAGCCTTTGGAGTTCTGAAGGATCTGATGTAGTCTAGCCACCCAAGGGAGAACAGAGACCATAGGCTGGACTCATACACTACAGCGAGTGCCTCCCTACCTCTGTACAGAGGAAACAGACAAAAAGCAGCACTGTCCTCTTCTCTCTGGGAAGGCAAAGGGTCAGCAGAGGCATCAGAATCTTCAAGATTGGGCACAAATGGAAACAAAGCTTTTGTAAATAAGGAGAAGAGGAATTGAAGAGAAGGGAGGGGAATGGGAAAAAAAGAAGCAAGCAGGCACCTTCCCACTGGTACTGAAAAAGCTGATGGAGACCCCCTTCAACCCGCCCACGGGAGGCCTGCCTGAGCATGGGCAGGGTTTCTGCATGGGTGGAGGCTAGTGGGGGTGGGGCTGGGGAGGTCTAAGGTAAGGGTGAAGTGGTGGGGGGCCAGGGATACATCATGTACGGGTACAAATTCGTTATGATGAATGTGATTTTATATATATATATATATATATATATATATATATATATATATAGCACTGATACAATTAATTGAAAAAAAGAATGGCATAGAAATTGTTTTCAAAACTCCTTTTGAATAAAAGACATTGCTGTATTCATCCAGTCACTAATTTTTTAATATTACTACATAATCTTTTAGGTAAAATCTAACCAATGAAATCTTTATAAAAATTGTGCAAAGTAAGGTCTGTCTTTACCTTCAACACGATGAAGTTTTTAATTAACAATAAACCACCATGGGTTGCTTTCTTAGAATACCACTAAATGTTAGAGACATTGTCTACTGTACCGGAGTATCGCTGCTGGATGAGGATGTCTGGGAATTCATATGGATGAAATTCCACTCCACCACGGCAATTTCTGAAAAGAAGATATTATTGGAAGCCTTAACTTGCAGTGATGACAGGAATTTATTAAATAGGTGGGTCATTTAATTTTCTGAATTTGTTTTTGTAATAAAGGTATTTTCTAATCAAACTGTTCTGAAGTTCATTGTATTTCATTAAATGTATATATTATGTTATTTTATATATTATAATATGTATAATTTATATGTACACCTTCCTAAGGATAAGGAACTCTTCCATGTTAACATGATTAAAGTCACTTAAGAAATATCTGTGACAAATTATTTGATATAATTTATATATGTGTGTAAGAAAACATTTCACTATGAAAAGATTTATTTACTGCAAAAATTTTTAAAGGGGAGTTTGTAATCTCAAATCAGACTTGTGAATTCCTGATCCCACAGAAATTTTTAGAGTTGAATTAATGTATTTAATGGAATAAATAATAAATTTGGCCTCCTCTATTTTTATAAACAGAAATTTGCTGCATTAAATTTGTATTAGGAAAGTTTGCACTCAACTATTATTTTGAAGATTAGGAGAAACAAGATTATGTAATTTTTTAAGACTATAAAAAATATTTGTTACTGCCTAAGAATTTTTCCACAATTCTACTTTATAGGCTTCTAAATCTGTCCCTGAATTCAGAGGTTGTGCTGGATCAAGATGCAATTGATGTCATAATTCATGTAGCTCGAAATCCACATGGCCGAGATCTTGCCTGGAAGTTCTTCAGAGATAAATGGAAGATATTAAATACCAGGTAGAAATAAGAATTCAATTATGCATACCAGAATGAGTAAAGTAGACATAAGAAGCATAGGGCCCAAGTTTTGTGTTATAGCTAAGATTCAAATAATACTGTAAGATCTTTAAAACAGTCAACCAAGATGCAGTTCTACTCTGAAATTGAGAATTACTTCAGAAATTAGATAGCACTATCATTTGTTATACATTAATAACCCTAATTAATTACATATGAACATAGCAACTTTCCTGGAGATTCCATCAAACTGTTCAAAGTTGAAGAAACCTTATCCTAAGGTTTCTATATCCTGAACATGTTATAGAAAACCATTCATAAATAAGATATTGTAGTGTTATAATAAGAAACTTCTATAGAATTGTTTGAAACATAAATACCATAAAACATCTAAATGAAGCCATGACATCGAGAAGAAACATTAATCATTTGAATCATTATATGATTTCAGTTGCAGTAGAATTCTTTTCCAGGATGTCTTGTTTCGTGTTGAAAATTCTTCAGCCTTGGTTTTATCAAATGTTTTATTATATATTTAAATTTATTATAATAAGTGCTAATGTATTACTCTGATAATCTCTATGGTATTTTAAAATTAAATTTCTTATAGAGTATGTAAATGCTGGATGTTCTTTTCATACATAAATGTTCCCAGATACTAAGTCAAATTATTATTCTGTCTCTTCAAAACTAACACAAAAATATTATATTTAAGCACACCTTTCTCAGTTGCACTGGTATAATGAGTTCAACTGGAAATCATATGTCATATTAGAAACATTTCTATCCACAGATATACTGATGATATTCCTTTAAGGCACATTGACATTTTTATATTTTCAGTTCAGAACTTGGAGTGATCGGAAGATTAGAGCTTGCTTTGCTGGCATGCATATAATAGAGTCATGTAACAGTCAGGCAGCTAAGGTGAAATTAATATATATGAGCACTTCTTTTAAAAAACGTCAAATGCCTACCAATATGTACACAGTTTCATTGGTTTTGTAGATCAGAGTTCAGTGGAATGTATCTATATGTATACATTGTTTATTGCCCACCAAAAATGTTTAGTTCCTAGTATGCTTAATTTGTCTCTCAGAGTCTATGATCTCCACACAAAAGTTTAAAAGGTTGCAGTTTCACAGTAGCTACAATACAGTAGTATTTATTTTGACAAATAAAAGTGTCCTCTTCATCTATCCCTACTTCTCTGTCCTTTGATGGTAAAGTTCATGGGGAGGTGCTTTCCAAGATACTCTTTTCTTCTCACTCTTCAAGGTTTTCCTTCTAGTTTCAGTCACTTCCAAATCTATGTCTCTATCTCAAACATTTCACCTCAGCGACAGTCTGATAGATAATATCCCATTGTGTACCCTCTATTGGAGTTTACATGCAATGCTAAAGCTATCATTATTTACACACTTGGAAATCTGCAAAGGGATCCTTGACATCCTTGCCTTGACATATTTAACAATTACTCTTGAGTTCTTTTCAATTTAACACTTCCAAATGTTTCTTGAGTTATTCCTTTTTTCCTGCTACCCCTTTCCTAGTGCAGGACGGTATCTCTTGCAATACCCTTACAATAGCCTTCTGTCTCCCTGCCGTTATAATTACACTCACCACACCACTATACACATACATATAACCCCATTCCCATTGTTCCAAGAATCTTTCTGAAAAGCAAGTGTGATTATTCACTTGCAGTAAAACTTTCCATAGTTCCATGCATTATTTAAAATCTAAGTCCCTTAATACTTTCTTAGCCTTTTTCTTCTACCTCTAGGCTTACAGTTTATGCACGCAGCTCCTAACTACTCATAACTGCCTGCACATGCCTTTGTTTATGTTGGTCCTCTACCTAAAATTACTTTCTCAGAACTCGCCATACTCAATCTAGAAACATCATTTCCTTGAAACCATTCCCAAGACCCTATAGCTAGATACCATCTCTGAATGCTGCATGAAATTTTATCAATGCCATATTTAGTTACATTAAATGAGAATTATCTGTTTACATGTGTAGCTCTACAACAAGTTAATAAAATACCTTCAATAAAGTTATGCCTTATCTTCGTCTGAGAGCATAACTAAAATCAATTGAGGTGCCCTGAGAAAAAATTAATTATTTTCATTAATATATAGTTGGCTAATTCTGTAACCACATCTTGATTATATATGATCACTGATATTGTTATCAAATGCCTCTTTGTTTTCTTTTACATAGCTATTTCCATAAAATATTTATAGTGCTAGAATTATAAGAAATTATATCAGTTATCCAATTTATCCCCCTTATTTTATAGAATAAAAAGCTAAGTTCTTCAGAAGCTCAGTTACTTATGGTCCCCTAAATTAGGGAAGCATTAGAAAATCTCTTGTAAAAAAAAAAAAAAAGAAAATTAAAAATAAAAAAGAAAATCTCTTGTAAAGTCAGTTTGGCCTTTGCTTCCTAAGACCCAGAGTGTTATTTTTAGTATAATTATCTTCGTTCTAAAAGTATAGTAGCAATATGATACAGTAATATTCAGGATAGAAATCCTTAGCAAAATAGAGACAAATTGTTAAGAGAACTCCTTCCACTTACCAATTCAAATTATTCATTGTCTTCAGTCACAAGTCAAGCAACTGTGTTGGAAGTACAAGAATTATGCAATCCAAATGAACAATTAGATATTCTCTGGTCAATGGAAGTATTGAGAAGTAATCTAAAAATCTTTATAGTACTATTTCTTCAATAATTACCTATAATAATAACTTTGAAACTTTTTCTTTAATCTTTTGAGGTATGGAGAAGCATTATTTATGAATTCCAAACTTATCAGTGGAGTTACAGAATTTCTTAATACTGAAGGTGAACTCAAAGAGGTAAATATTTTGAGATGAATTCTAATTCTTTCCTTTTATAAATGTATGAAAGTATATATTTATCTACACCATTTCTTTCTATTGTACTCCATGAGATTCATACCAATTCCTTTTACACACACACACACACACACACACACACACACACACCACCTATGTAAAAGAATTTTCTCAATTCATTATTTTCAAAAGGTATTTCTAATATAATGGACACTGAATGTCTGAAAAGAGAGTTTGATTGTAATTATTTCCAAAGCTGGATATCCAAAATCTATTCTAGAATCTTTGGTTTGAGTAGCCACTCCTCAGATGATTCTATGACTGCAGTTTAGAACCCAATAACCAATAACACTTTCATGTAAGTGATGCAGTATTTGTAAACAGACTAATGTTAGCCTGAGTCTCACTGCTTTCTTTTCAATTCCTTGCAGACAAGAGACAATAATGGACATGATGATAATGCTTCATGCTGTCTAGCCTGCTAAATTGAATGAATTTGTATGTGGGGAAGGAACATATCTAGTAATACACATTGAAATTAAACTTTTGCTTGGTACAGTCACAAATGAATTTTATTGATGAAAATAAATTATATTTTTTTTACTGAATATATAGAGTCCAGATTTTGGAGTACCTAACATGTCCTTTTCCTCTGGTTTATTTTTCTGGAAAGGTAAGCAAGCTAGGCATTCCTTCTTTCCCCTCACTCCCATTAACTCTAAAAGAGATGAATATGGAATGGGGAGGGTTAGGAAGGTAGGATAGAGGTACAAAATTTAGATTATTTTAATTGATTATAATGAGTTGAGCTTCAAATACCTACTGCCTTTTCCTTTGTTGCTCTTCTCCATCAGAAAATATAGCTGCTATTTCATATCGAGAATCACATTTCCTTCGTTTTTCAGTGATAGAAAGCCTGATGCTGTGACCCAGAGTTAATCCCATCAAACATCATTCCCTGAAGCATCAAGCCTGGCCTTAATATCTTCTAATGTTGCCCAGTTTCCTGAGATGATCTCCCATGTACTAACTTGGATTCTGTCACACTGTGAGCTGAGCTAAGCTAAGGCTCTGATAGTAATGATTTGAAATTCAGTCTTTATCCTTGCCATGTGTATTCCCAACCATGAAAGATTTGGTTGGAAATCCCGGAACATTGTTTTTACTACTTTTGCAAGTATTAGAAGCTAAATGGAAAGGACTTTTTCATAACCATAACAAACAGAAAAAAAGAACAATTAAGTTAATGATTGCTTCCAGTTTTGTTCGAATTTAAATAAAGAACTTTTAATGTCTTGATTTTACATTCAATACTCTGGGAACCAATGAAGGACTTAATCATGACTGGAGCAGTTCAAGTGAACAGAAAAGTGAAAAATCTGTTTCCCCTTTCTTCCCCTTTTCCCTTGCCCTTGGTCCCTTCTTTCTCTTTTCTCTCCTCTCATCTCCTTCAGTCCCATTTCTTCATACCTCCTGCCTGTCCTTTCTCCCTTCTCCACACCTTTTTTAACTGCTTGTTTTTCACATTTTCCTCGACTTGATAACATCCAGGCCATAATGAAAAAAATCATTTAAACGCACATTTAATTGATTTATTATATATTATTTTGTTTTACTTTTTTAACCTGTACAATTTGAATCTTTTATTTAATTGCCATTTTAGGTGTTCCAAGGTCCCCCCATTGTGAAAGGTACAATTTCAAAACTGAAGCTAAATTGTGGCTTTTATTCCATTATCTTTAAAGCAGCTAACTTCACAATCCAAATTCTCAAAGGAATGAATCAGCGATAAATCCTTCACCACAGAGTGACTTGTTAGTTTAACTGCTTCTGCCAGAGGCATTTTCATACTTTCATCATCTAACCATTGTCTATGGGATTGGGGAGCACTATTTTCAGGTGGGATGCGAGAGTTAATTTATAATGACTATAACTTCTTTTCCTTAAATAAAAAGACAGAAAAATCCAGTCCCATTCCCTATATAACCATGGGGAGCCTCATAAACAGAAAATCCAATGTGCTTCCTTGGGGTACAGCACGTTCTTATTTTCCAGGATCATAGATTGAAAGGGAATCAACAGATTTATGAATTCTGAAAACTCATTTGCTATTTTATTTTAGTGATCTTCATTAACGTTAGTGACATTAGAAGAGAGAAAATTACGTTGTTCTGTGTTTCCTTCCCCAAAACTGCATTCTAGTACCTGAAACTGAATTTCTTTTCATTAAAGGACTCTGGGAGTCAGAACAACATTAGTTCACAAGGCCATCCATCATTTCCTTAATTCTAAACTAATGGACCTCTGACCTCATGGGATCTCAGAGGCCCTGGCCATTTTCCATTCTGATGTCCATTAAGCAGTCCTCTCCTGCATCTATTTCTCTTGCATGGTGAACTAATATACAACATTGTTGCAGGATCACATGGCTCCTGTGTGTCACAGACATCCCATTTACACTTTTAATGTTAAAGACTTATCCTTCATTGTCAGACAATAGCTAATTTTATTTATTGTTGTAAAGTGTATTATATTTTGAAATTTTATGATATTGGGGTCTGGAGTACACTGAAATAAGAGATTTTCAAAAAAAGTATTAAAATGGTTTAATAGATAAACATATCTAGAAGTTTTATGCTAAGAAAATTAGGGTGCACAAACAACACTGATATTTTACTAAATGTTAATTTACAAATGTGTCTAGATGTTCAAGATTTTAAAAAATAAAAGCCAAAAGGCATTAATATCTAGGAAACATAACTTTTTAGAAATGAAAAGCAGCAGAAGAGCCTACAAAAGAGCAAAGAAAGAAAGAAAACTGGAATGCTAAATGGCTTCCATCTATTCCAAGTCCTGTAAAGTGATGCAAGGGTCACAAGGCATTGCAAAAATGCTCTAGAAGCATTTAAATGGCTTCTTGGACCACGTGTTTGCTGTGAGAGCTGCAGAGGAGTATGGGCTATCAGATCAATTTATGGCAACCCTGCAAAGTAGGCCAGATGTGTTCTGATGGATAAGCTGCTCTTAAGATGCATGAGTCACCTCAGGCTCTCTGAGCTCACAAGGGAAGTATTTAGTGCACTTAAATAGTGATTTAAGAAATGAATCTCTAGAGACCATCCAGTTACACTGTCTATTGCAAGTTCTCTTGCGAGATAATCTGACCTACTATCCTTGTGACAATAAATGTTCTTATTCAGACTCACAGTTTGCCTTTAAGGAAGATGTAAGTGTTTTACTTCATGTGTTCAGGCTGGCTTCACAAAGAGGCCAAGAGCATGCTTCACAGATTTAAAGTTGCCAAAGAGGTATTTATCACTACCTGGCATATTTGGGGAATATCTAGAAAAATATAATGCAGAACATATTTTAAAAAGGAGAGATATATTTTTGATTAACATACAATATAGCAAGTAATGACACCACAATGTCATGTTTTTGTAATAAAGCATAAAAGTCAAAACATACAACAAAACTTATTATTTCTGGCTTTATGAATATAGCCTTTATAAATCTAAACATGAATATGGAAATACAATTGTGTTGCTGGTAATTAGCTAATTTTCAAATTATGATTCAAGTACTTTCTAGACTTTCTTGTTAGTATATAGAAGGGCAGTGCCTGAAATATTAGAGATAATGAATTCCTACCCTTTCTTTTTTCTTTATTCCTTAATGTGTGTAAATTTTATCCAATGTCAGATTAGTTTTTAGGATGCACACCAAAAATTGTTATGCATTGTATATTTTACGTGTTTCCTATAAAAGTGCAGTGATCTTGAAATCTTTACAAGGATATAGTTGTGAGATCATCAATTGTGAATGTTGCCAGACAGAGGGCTCTATAGGAAAGTAGATAAAAAATTTGGAGAAAGCCCATCAGTATCAGGTAATGAAAGAAACAGTGTCATAAACAAACAAATCTATCCATGACCTAAATTCTAAATTAATTTAGAAAGGTATAATTAAACATTTTAAACACCCTTTACCCTATTCCCCCTGCTCCTGAGCTTATCTTGATGCATTACATTTTCTTCCTGGCATATCTTCCATGTGGCGCCCACCATGTGATGAATCACATCCCACACTAATTACACCACATAATGTTTCCGTGTTGCAAGTTGATTTTTCACCTTCGACTATTAGCACTGCAATTGCTGGTTGGTTGCCAGTTTCTTAAGACATACCAAACAGAAAAAAACAAAACAAAAAAACCCTGGTAGTATTTAAATTGGAAGGGGAATACCTGAGTATTCCGAGTCTGAACTCTTTAAGTAAAATCTTATATCATTAAAAATTGTGACAAAGCACTTAAAATTCTAACTTAAATGCTCAAATTCTCTAGCTAAATAGGCCCATATTTCTCCTTCACTCTTTCTAAATCTAGTTACTTGGATGATTTCAATGTCATTAATCTTCCAGTTTTCATAGGCCTGTTACTTTTCTCCAACATCCAGTAAATTTTGTAATCCCTTGACATCAATGATAGTGTCAAACTCTATATTACTTATTTGTAGAAGAGGAAGAATAACTTTCTCTTTACAAACAAAAATGAACTTTAAATCTTATATTCAGTTTTTAAGACTATTTCATATATTGTGTATATGTTGTAATTATAACTGGTCTTTGTCATAATATCATCAAACTATTCTGAAGGATAAATATGCTTGTTTTAATTTCTACTGATAAAAAGGAAGCTGAATTTAGAACCATTTCACATGTAATGACCACTCTTTTTGGGGGGAGTCTTTTCATTTCAAATTGCACCACACCTAATTTATACTGCTTTGTTATATTGTATTTTGCTACTAAATATACCTTCTCCACTGACTATGTTACCAAACCAGGCCCATTTCTTCTGGTGCATATAAGCCAATCACTGAAATGATGAGTTTTATAAAAGACAGGGAATTTATTCAGGAGGCTGCCAAGTGTAAAGGCATGAAATTTTCCTCTGCAAGGATAGAGATGTTAGTGGGTTAAAGAAACAGGATGAGTTAAGGTGTAGGCCAAGGTGATTGACAGTGAAGTAATCAGTAGGGTGTACATGGGTGATCAGTCTTTATAGCTCTTCCTAGTATGCATGTACAGAAAATTCAGTAGTACTGTGATGGTGGAGTTTTTGGTTCTCTGACATCAAAGAGTCACTCATCAGTAGTTGTTTGATCCCAAGTGCAGAGTTGGTGGTTTGAATAAGTGTCGTTCAAGTCTCTGAAATGTAATGTGGGCAACTGTTAGCATCATCACTTACACATCAGAGGTGTTATCTATAGCAGTGTTGATAGGAGAGTAGTAATACATGCATTGGTCAGTTAAGAGAAAAATAAAGGAAGGATAAAAGAAAACAAAGGGAGGATCTCTTGCAGGTGAGAAGAGGTCCAGGGGCCCAACGGCAAGGGGCAAGGGGGAGGAGATGGAGAAATAGGTAGAATGAAGACGTGCCATGTACAGGATATAACCTCAGTGAATGTGGATATTATAAACATGAACTAAAATAAGAATGACAAAGGGGAAAGGGAAATTAGAGGAGGAGGGAGGGATGAAGAAGGAAGGGATTTAAAAAAAAAGAAACAATTTATGTTCTGTATATGTTCTGACTTCCCCATTGTAAAATGCACGTAACTGCAAACATGTACTGATAAATAAAAAAATTAAATTAAATAGAAATGAATAATCTAAGAGGTAGAGGATTTGTTCAGTTTTTTCCCCTTTTTCAGTTGGAGCACTCTGTTTCAAATGTTCTTATGCATATTGCACATGAGCTCATTTTAAGATATGCAGATTTACCATTTTACATTTCTATTTACAGCTAAAGAACTTCATGAAGAACTATGATGGGGTCGCTGCTGTGTCTTTCACACGAGCTGTAGAAACTGTGGAAGCCAATGTGCGCTGGAAAATGCTCTATCAAGATGAACTTTTCCAATGGCTGGGCAAAGCTCTAAGACATTAATATATGTCTTTTGTAAACATTTCAACTCCAAATTTTGTGAGAGGATCTGCTTTTTATGGAATGAGGAAAATGGTCAGATTTTGAGAGTTAAAACACGGGAGGAATTCTTTTTTATGTTTGTTTTTTGGTTTGGGGAGATTTTTTTTATTTGTTTCATTCATTCTGTTTTGCTTCCCTACTGGGTGTTCCCTAAAGAAACCCTTGCAAGTGAAACCTGCTGTGGTTGCTTCAGCTGTACATTCCTTGCTGTACAAGACCAAACATGGTAGTGGTGCATGTCAGTGTTGAAGTCAGTTTGGAAAAACATAGTCAGAATATTCTGTGCATGGATGTATGGTCCTGCCTGTGTTCCAGCATGCTTATTTAAAATGTCCGACATTTTATGTGAATATATGTTACATCCAAGATGGGCATTATGCAAAAGCACAAAGGTTATTGATGACAATCAGTGTTGCAATGAAAGAAAAGCTGAAAAAAATTTATTCTCAGTCTTGGACAATGGAGGGATAAATTAGCTCTGTAAGTGATCACTGTCGCTTATTTCAGCACTGGAATTGTCTGGCAATGATTATTTGTTGATAACTCACTTCCTTTGAGTTAAAGCTGTGTATACATTTAAAAGGCATATAGTGTAGACATATCTTTATGTACATAGGGACCGCCATATGTATATAGTATGTTGTACACAGCACATGTGCAGAAAATCTCTTCAGATGAAAGAAAATTTATCTCTTTTTATAAATGTATGGACATTTGGAAAAGGCTTAAAAGAATTTATATCAATCTCGTCCTTCCTGATTCCTAAATCCTCGATCCAATTTTTATCTACTTCCCAAGCAATTCTACTCCATGATGAGTTTTAAGAAAATTGACTCATAAAAAACCACTCTTCTAATTCTCCTAAGTCAATGGCAACCTTACGTATAGATTCTGTCACCATTTGGTTCAAATTTCAAATTGCATAAAGCAGTTGTGCAAATGTGTAATTATTAGTACTGAGAAAGTGTTTTTCATCTTGTTTGTCCATCTTACATTGGGTGGTACAGAGTTAAAAATTCTTTCTGTGTGTTGGTATTTGTGTCTATGTTGCTCTAATCCTACATTAAGCAACCATACCTCAATGGGTCTATTAGCACTTAATGACCTTTTATGCCAGTTGTGCCATCCCTTAAAGAGTTACTTTCCTTTTATTAATGTACAAAGTCCTTCTTTTGGCATTTACAACTGTGTTCTACCTGGGAATTTTGAATAGCTATTTTCATGGCTGTGTGTTATGTAACATGAGATTTTAAAATGATATTTTCACCTAGTAGGCAAGCTCTTCAATCATACTTAGGTGAATATGTTTTAAGCTACCATTATGAAATACCAGTACAACAATGATACTTAAGCTAAATGTTTGTGGACTATTACTTTCTTTAGGTTTTCCAAATGTATAATTCTTGCAAATCACTGAAACGAAGGAATTACAGAATTAAGTCACTCAATATCAAGAAAAATAGAGAGAATGAAACTGGAGCCATAGAATTATTTTAAATTTTTTATAAAATGAGCAATTTCCTAATTCATAAATTCTTAAAAGAAGTACCACCTAAAATAAATTTTAACATTTAAACAAGTAATACACTTTACTCATACTTAGATTTTTCAACACTTTAACAATTAACATACATAAACTTAATACTTTCTGTAGTGTTAATAAGGCATAGTAATGCTTAATATAAAATGTAAAAGTTATGCCACGTACCAAAAGTGATGAAATCCAATTACTGTGTATCATAGTTACAGGTCCTTAAGGGCAACTTCTACAACATTCTACAACATATCAATAAGTACCACACTGCTGTGCATGTCCCAGATATTCACTGTATCACTGTTCAATTCATGCAATAGATGATAAAAATTTAGAAGTGGATGTCTTGTTTTGTGTCATGAATTATTTAAAATTCTTAGTAGTTACGACTTTTTAGTGAAATCACCATTTTAAATTTTGAATTAGAAAGGCCTTTATAGTTCTTATCCCCTCCACAGTTAATAATTTTAATCCTCTTCAGTATTTTAGTGGCTTTGAACAACTGGCTTAGATACAATTCAAATCCTAAGTGTGTAATTATGTGCAATGTTCAATACCTCATATAATACTTGTTCAACAGTATAGTGGTACCAATGACATTGAAATGGCATTTTAGTTCCACATATTTTTCAACAACTTATCATTTCACATGTTGAAATTAAACATTTTTAGTTGTTTAAATAAGTAATATTTTCAAAATAATAAAATAGCCGATGATATCTCTTGGAATATTCTGTAAAATGTAGTTATAAAATTATATTTTCTACTTAGATTTTTTATCTTTTCTCTCTTCTTTGTCTATTTTACAAATCATATATATGCATGAAATAACAGTTGAAAGTGTCCAACATTTAGTCTTAAAAATTTACTGTGCCAATATATGTATGACAGCAAAACATGGTTTAAATTAGAAAGGACTAAATTATTTACTCCACGGAGTATTAATTGTCTCCAGATGATTTATAAATAAAAAAGATTTCCCATTTTTACACATTCTCCTTAAAATGTTCTTATAATCTTTGAAATTCTGAAAATACCAAATCTCATCTTTTAAGGCTAGATCTCCTAGAATTTCAGTAACATATATTTTTTGAGGCCTTACACTAACTTTGGTTTATCTTATTTTCAGGATAATTATATCATAGAACTGAATTTTTTTGTGGTAGTACAATTACAAATATTATTACTGTAATATCATACAAGGTTGTTAAGGTTATGCCATGTATTCATAAAATGCTTTTCATTTTCAAAGAACTTTTACACATGTGTTATTTTGTTATTGGCTCCTCACAAAACTACTATATGTGTGACTCTATATCCTGAAGATCAAACTGAAGCTTAGAGCAGCAACATGAACTATGTAAAATTGCAATTATTTTGGGAACCAATATATAATCACTTAAGCCTTTTAATATAGCTTTCCAACAACTAAATTATAAATACATGTTCAACATACCTCTATCCAGAATTTGTTGTAGATTTTGCAAATACTAGACCAGCATCCACATACATTATTAAATATATCTGCAATAATTATATTTTTAAAGCCATTCTGATTTGCATGATTTCAAACTACTAAATAATCATGTTAATGAGTATTGACTTTGGTCAATGCAAGTAGTCAGATATTGGGGGAAATAATGTACTTTACTGAGATATTTTGTTTTTTATATCTCTTGTCAAACCCCATTTAAATATAACTTTAAAACACTGCTAATTTATCTTCCTTTCAACAGAAACTTCCACGATCATACTAACAGTAGTAACAGATGGTCAGAATGCAGATAAAATACTATCCATCTAAATCATTGAAAATAATATTCAATGAAATGTTAATAAATCTATGCAGACCAAATTGCAAAAAAACATTTTTATGCAACTATTGCACTGAATTAGATGCCATAAAGGGATCCCACAAGATGTTTACAATAGTACATTTCATTAAAATCTACTAGCAATTAAAATTTTAAGTAATTCTTCTTTAAGACTTGGAGAACCTAAAATAGCTAGTTTCCTGAGAGTGTCAATGAAGTAACCACATATACTTATAAAAGAAGTAATAAAAGCACATATTATTAGAAATTTAGATTATCCCACATGATTTTTCTTTTATCAGAGCTCATACTCAAATGATCATTTGATATTGATGATGGCATAATTCAACTTAAAGAAATATTTACTGACTACCTTTTATTAACCTGGGCACTTAGTAAAGGTACAAGAAGAGAGATGAAGAGATCTAAAGGAATTCATATATAAAAATGTAAAAAGAACAAAGAATTTAGGAAGAAGTAAGAATAATGGCAACATGAAAAATAATTAGTATAAAAAAAGGTAAATCATTTTGGGTACAGATAATATTTAAATATTTTGCACATTTGTTCTCAAACTTTGGTATAATTTTTATTGTTTGATTTCACAATGCTTGTGTTTTATGGATATATGTAACAGTTCAAAATTTTAATAAAATCCTACAGTTAAAGCTATAGTAATTGGATTCAAAATTGGGATACCATTTATCCTTGAGTAAAGTCTTATCAGTAATTTAGCAATATTGTTTAGTTGCAGAAAAAATTTTTAGTCTGTATGAGAAAGTAGTTCAAGTTTTCTGAAGTAGTTTTAGGATATTTTCATATTTAAAATTTGTTAATTTCATGTTAGTCATATATTCTTTATTGGAGGGTCAATATACTTATCTATTTTTGGAAATAATTTATTTCTTCAAATTAACATAGATGAACTCGATTGCAAAATGTGCTTGTAAATTATTCAAGAACTTCAAACTTTAATCATACAGATGTAGCCTTCAGTTCAGTTGGCATTAATTAATGAGAAAATTTCTAAAATAAATATTTTGCTTAATGTGCTATAGATTCAGGAAAATCTAACAATAATGTGTTATAATAGCTTTTATTTTCAAATTTATATTATGAAATTTAATTTGGGGATTTAGATAAGGAAAGTAGTAAACATCTTAAGTACTTTTAGGAAAATTATTGAAAATACAAGTTTTAAAGTTAAATATGTTGCCTATGGAACACTGCATGTATTTGTTAAAATAAGTTTCTCACAAACTGAACCTACTACCAGTAGATAGTATGATTTTACCCAGAATTTGAAAACTACACTGTAAGACTTTTATTTTGAATATTTGGTACTTTATAGTGCATTGAATTTTTTGTGTATGTATTTTTCTTAGTTCATGTACTAATCACTAAGAAAAAAGGAAAATATGACTGAACTTTGTCTTACTCTGTATTAAAATGTTTTGTAGTATCTTAATATAAGTGAGCTAGGATATAGGGAAGGAGCAAAAATTTGAGAGCCTACTGAGTTTCAGGCAATTTATAAGTATCTCATTTAAAAACCCTATGAAATCTCATTAGTTCAAATTTATCAGTGAGTAGACTGAGGCTAAATGCTAGTTTACACACAATTAATTAATGGTATTAGATTGTATTCAAAATTCTTGAAAAGCAAGTTCTTTATGGTTTAAATTAGTGATTACTCTGACTCCAGCCTGCATCAAAACATGTTTATCCGTACAAACTCGTATCTAGGACATCTGAATACTTACCCCACTTTCTCATTGTGATTGGCTTGTTTGAAACAATTGTTAATTAATACATTCTGGTTTCCTACTTATTTCTTAACAAGCTAACCTCAGAGTATCTATAAGTAGTTTCATAGGCAATATTTTACATGCATATGTTTGTGTAGTGGGTTTTAAGCTATATCAAACAATTGACAGATACGACTGCCAATGAGCCATGAAAAATAAGTGAATACAGAGAATGGATTATGAAGCTCTTCACCAGCGGACCACAAAGATGAGATTAAACCTAGGTCTCTGGATGTAGAAGAGATGTATTTGTCTAATCAGAACTTTCCATACATAGAAGGAGGTCAAAGAATTATTTCTCCTTTTCCGCTTATAACTAGCTGGACCACAACTGCTTAATTTACTTGCAGTTACATTTTCAGTAGGCCTGCTGTGTGTAGATACAGTCTAAGATAACTACTGTGACTTGCTTCTCTGCACAGGTCAACTTGCTTCTAATGGGACACATTTTTCTCATGTCATATAAGTAAATAAAAGAATGAACCGTTTTGCAGAAAATATTACAGTGGAGTTAAGAACATCTACCTTGAATGTACAGTGCACTTATTTTTGAAGTTAATCATTCAGTAGCTCACAATATTGTACCTATAGGTTCACAGTATTGTTCCTGCTTTTATGCACAACTCTGTCCTCACCTTTACATAGTTTATGACTTAGCGGGTGAGAAATTCATTAATAAATTTTTGATATTAATTTCATTTAAATAGGTTTATCAGCTGTCATTTCTGAAGTACACAACATTTTAAAATATTATATTGTACATTTTAAAATATTATGTAATAGCAGCTTCACATGAATATTTCAGTGGTACCTGTACATTGCCGTATAGGAATATGTTTGCTATTTTTCATTGCTATGTCTTGTCCTTTTTGCATTTTAATAATCTTTGAAAACATTAGGCCTACAAAACTAAAATAGGCTAGGACTATGACACGTGTTTTTCAGTTACTTGAACACTAAAGAAAATTTTCCTTTAAGTTTTCATATTTGGCTTTTGATAGCACTGAATTTATCAGACATTGTTTCAAAAGTCCTATACAGACTATTCCTAATGAACTTGACTTTACTCAGTAACAAAGTTTATTTTCCTATATCTATTTTCCAACTGAACAGACTTATTTAAAATATGCCATATGGAAGCATTTTTCCCCTTTCTAATATTTTTTGATTTGAGAATTTTAAAAGATATCCTTTTAGTAAACACAAAAGCTTACCAAATAAAGAACCTTGTTTTAATTTAGCTAGTGAATGTTTTCTATGGTATGTCTTTAAAATTATCCAGCAAAAATTGAATGGGTATGTATTCAACATGAAATTTTTATTCCATTCTGATGAAGCACTAACAAAACGGATTTTTCTAAATGAGAAAATTTGTCTTCTGTATTTTAAATGGAACAAATTTGAATTTTGCCTCTGATAATAAAATTTTGTACAGTAACGTGTAATTCATCACTGTCTTAATTTTCTGACATGTGCAGATGAGACTAAGATAATAAGTTCAGCTTTTTAAATTATGCTTCTGTTTTCACTTGAGAATCCATTTAAAATATTTTGAGTATACGTACTATAGCGATCCAAGAAAACAACAAAAAAAGCATTCACTTCTGAATGGGCTTTAGAAAAACACACACAGTGAAGCTAAAATAAAGAAGTATGTATTTGTGCTATACTGTAGAAAGAAAAAACTACCAATTCAGTCTACTTTCTAATTATATATCTTTAGAATAAATGAAATGATCTGCACTTTGATAAAAGTGATTTCACCTGAAATGCATTTCAGATTGCTTTTTAATAGGTTTTCTATATTTGACAGACTGTCAGGCTCCCTGAATTTCAAGAACAGTTTTCAATAACAACAGAATGATAAAATATATATCATCGAGGGTCCTAAGTAGTACTCAAATGTAGTTTTCAATGCCTCTGGGTTTTTCTCTAAGAATTGGTCAGAGAACATTAGAACTGACTACATAGCCATGCATTTGAGTCATATGAGACATAGGTAATACTTCTGTGCTATGAGCATAAAGGTAAGAAATGCAGGCCTTCCAAACCAGTATTAGAGCACGCTTATTAGAGGGTAGAGCCAGAGTCTACATGTATATGTATATGTATCTATCTCCAGTAATATGTATACTATATAGTTTTCATATAATGCATAGTTTGTCCATTTATATTATATACAATATAATGTTTATATATATATATATGTATTCAGGATTATGTGTATATAATTTACTGCTCAACTGATACCTGTGTTGCAGAACTTTCATGTAAATTAGGAAATGAGTTTTGCAAAATGTTGGTGTATAGACTATGGGTATCATCCTTATCTTCAGAGACTATCAGTTAATTGTTTGATTATACTGGCATAATAGCAAGAATTCTAAAAACCTAGAAGAAATTTATTTAGAAGCAATTTCAACCTAGCACACAACCCCCCAGAGATTCTGTCTCAATAGGTGGGTGAAATATGCCAATCTGCACGTTGAACCCAGGTTCTAAGTGATTCTGTTACAAGCAACCCATCCATAATACACTTAAGAAAATTCGGCAAGGACAGTGACTCTCTATCCCGATTTTTTGTTAGACTCACCTGATTATCTTTTCAAACATAATACTGCTTAAGCTGCATTCTGAACTAATCAAAAAAGAATTTTGAGACATGAGGTATCAGCATCCGCATTAGCATATTTTTAGTCTCTGAAGAATTCCAGTATACAGTGAGGGTTAAAAGAAGCCCTGGACAGAAGGAGTTGAACATGAAGTAGCTTAAGCATTAGTTATAGAATTCTACTGGAAGTACCTATTTCAGACATCTAGGAAGTTGTGACTATTGTTTGACATTCTTATCAAATACAGAAGAAAAACTGTTCTCAATTAGCTTAATATTGAAAAGCAATACAGCAAACTTGCAGCAAACTTGCAGCAAACTGACTTCCATACCCTGACATGTCACTGCCATGATGCAAAGCTGGGAGTGGTTTGATGTCACCAATGTAGATGACTCTCTTCCATCTAATGACCCTGACATGCTTCCCTCACTTACTTTGTCTTGTACTTTCTTCTAGACTCCTACATAGATAACTATACACATGTTTAGTATCAGTGTTAACAACTTCTCAATCTTTATTTCTTTATTTTAAATGAAAGAAAGACCCATTGGAAAGGCTTTCTATTCAAAAACCCACCCTGTGGCCTACATAACAGAACAAAAAACTTCTTTCTACTCTTGTTCGTATTGCAAGGGCTTGAAACTGGTGATCACACATGACATGTTAAAATTGTTACAGGGGGAAGATAAACACGCCATAAACCATTATTAGGTTCTATTGTCATCTGAGAGATGATTCCTTTTGCTTGTTCTCCTGTTTTTCTTTTTACTTTATTTTCCTTTCTCTTTCTTTCTCATGTGACTTTCCAGCTGAGCACTGAGTCTTTTTCAGTAACACATGCTATTTTTCACTTGACATTGCAAAAGAACAGTTTTGAGCTGTTCTATATCAGTGTGTGTAATAAAAAGTGACGTGTTCCTGGGACTGTCAAACAAGACCTACAGGGCATTCAAGTACATTGAAACTGCTAGGCTATGCTCTGCAGTTTGTGATCATTTGTCAGTCCTTTAGTTCTGTTCTCCCTTGCATTGTTTCCTAAAATCTCCTGCTAATTAGAGATTTCAGAACACAAACCATTCCTTTTCTTTCCCCCATGGAAAAGGAATTAAAAATGTTGTCTCCCCTAGAAAATTTTAACAAACTGTAGAAGGTGAATGGTTTAATTGGATAATTCTTGAGTCATATATAACAATGATAAACACCCAAGTCTTCTATCATATTTTTGCTATTTCCCTATACTATTTCACATTATATGTCATTTTCTTTATAGGATTTAACAGTGAACTCAATTTCATTGAGTAAGGAAATTTTTCTATATAATAAGACCTTCCAAGTTGGTAGCTTATTATTAAGTTACCACAATTCTCACAATGACTGACTTCACAGAGACTTTTATGACAAATTCAGGTCTACCCCAGAAATCCAGCTAATACTGTGTAAAAATGGTTTCAGTTTAGTGAGCATAGATCTGTGTGAAAGTCTATTAGTTGAATAGTAAAAGGAATGGAGCTAGTCCAACATTAATAGGTGGATATACACCAAAATTTAGCATTAAAGAAGGGGATGGAAATTAGGCATTCTATTTTTAGAAGATACAGACTTCAGCAAACAGAATATGCAAGGATTATACAGGTGTATAAGCAACTCCAGGAAGCTTAAGTGCATCATAAAGGTATTTCACAGGCAAGATTGTTCTGGCACTTGCTTTGCACAAATATTTTTCAACATTGTTTGACTGAAATAATTGGATGATATAAATAGAATGTTTCAAATGATAAGCAAAAATTCCAAAATAAATAGTAATTTCAATCCTGCTCAAATAAGGTACAAAGAAAAACAGTAGTTAGTATTTAGAAGACGGGTGTGTGTGTGTGTGTGTGTGTGTGTGTGTTGTACAGAGCCAGAAGATGATGAGAGAGGGAAGGTTGAGAGCAGTTGATACAGCTCTTAAATGCTGCATATTTCCACAGGGAAAATTATTAAAGTCTCACATTAAATATTAATATAGTCTTATAATTTTAAGAATCAACTTAATTTGGTAGTTTGAAAATTGTTACCTTGCATATGAAAGCATGGTAATATAAATAGCTGTGATTTAGAATGGGCATTTAAACTGAAATTAGTATTATTTTTGGTTCAATAGAAAAATACATGAGTTTCTAGAACTGGCAAATATGAGTCAGTAACTATCTGTGTGCATAGAAACTGCATGTTCTCTTAAGTGCAAAAGGAAATATCAAAATCTATCATTGGATAGATGAAACTCAAAAAAATCAATTTGCTCTGTTTAGTAATAAAACATTGGAATTCTAAAGTTAGAGATGACTATGAGCATCTTCTGTCACAAACATTTCAATTTAGGGGGCCCCATATGTTAAGTTTCTAGTTATTTGTGGATTAAGTCGATTGAAACCAAAAGGTTTGACTGGATTTTGTACATATATAGTTCATTTGCTTTGACCATAGATGTAACCTTAAAATATCATAAAACCTCAGTTTGGGAGCATAATTCATTCCAGAAACATGCTTCTAATCTAAAGCACTTGTATATCAAAGTGAATTTCCCCATAAGAAATAATGGAAACTCAGATGATTTGTTTCATAACCCCAAAATATTCATATAAAAAGTATTACAATACTATAATATGAAATAATAAAGACAAATTAACCTGCACTTACCTTTGAAAACCTTAGTGTCTGGTGTGAGGGAGACAAGAGAGGAGGGCTATTGTCTAGGGCAACTTTATCACTAATGGAATCACTGCTATCTATTGACTCAATAGAATCCTTTTCCTTTTCTACAGCTTTAACAAGGAACCTGTCAAGTGACACTTGCTTTTGTCTCCTTCTGGGGATTTCCCAGAAATGTGACAATGCATTGCTGTCAAACAGATTCATCGCTTGCACTGCTACAACCTTACTTGGGTGGTGCTATTCTACAAAATTTAAACCGTTTCCCACATTTTTTGCATCTCCCTAATCTCTTTCGAAGTAAGAGATTCCTCCACCTGTTTTTGTTTTGCTCCTCCTCTGCAGAGGAGATCTCCTCCATAACCTCTTGCTATTGGGAGATGGTCACCCACAATCTGACAGAGAGGAAAAGGGGGGGGGGAGGAGGGAGGGAAGAAGGAAGAGAGGGAGGGAGAGAGAAAGAGAGAGGAGGGGGGACTGGAGAAAGAGAAAGATTGACTGAGAGAGAGGAAAAGAACTATTGGCTCAGTCGTGATCATGTGAGAATGGTGTTGTCTACTACTTATATTGCAAAACCTCACTAGTTTACCAAGTTAAAATTTATTACAAATGTTTGCTTGTCTTGTGGAACACTTGAAGAACAAATTACTCACAATCCACTGTTTTACTATACTTATCCCTTGACGTATTTCATTTTGTAATACAGACCTTCTATACAGTGACCAAACCGCAATTAAGCAAATTATCACTTGTCTTGACCTAAGTACTGTATGTGCAATAATGTCTAAACTTGAAATTTCCTTAAAGTATGAATTTGACTCACATAGGTTTTAGACTCAATTAAAGATCCAAAGTTTGAATATTGTCTAGCCAAATCGCTGTTAAATGTTCAATGGCTTTTCATTTAAGCCAAATAACATTTTACTCTTGTTAAATGTTGTCATATAAATTTTCTGGAATTTGGATCTTGCCACCACTGCAATAATGAGTATCTATATATGTGTGGCACCCCATCGGTGACATCATTTTGTTATTTATATCATGCAATGAGACCAGTCGCGCTCCCCACCCCCCATACCGAGATCATTGTGCAAGTAGATCGTGAAAGTGTTTTCTCAGTTGGTTAGATATGTAG